TCATGGGTTTTATTTTTGACCGTAAGGTTTATTTTGAACCAATTTGGGTTTTTTTGACACTTGAGTATTGATTGGAAAAAAATATTATCTGTGATTGACCATCTTTAAGAGTGAAATTTTCAGTTCTTAATATGTTGTTTATTTATTTTACGTGAAATGTAAATGTTTTATCGTAACTTTTTCGGGAAATCAATATATAAATATCTTACAACTAATTAAATGCATGAAACTAATCATATAACGTAAGTGTTAAAATATTATCATAAGTAAAGAGAAGTTTCAGTTCTTTTCCAGATTTCACTCAGTCTATTAATATTCAAAATCTTCAATTTGATTATTTAAAATTTGAATATATATTTCAGTTTTATATTTGTATATATCATTCATTTGATCATTTTCAAAGTGTTTATTTTTCAGGACATCTTTTATATTGATTTTAATATAAATTGCACATTTCCCCTATATAATTCTGCACTTGTATTATATGTGATTTCTTTTTCAGCTTTTATGAATTTTCACTTTATAATAGATTATACAATGCTGATAAACATAAACGCATGTAATAGTACAATTTTCTATGATTAAATAAGATATAACTTTATTATATTCTTATATCTTTTCAAAAGAAAAGTACATGTACTTCAGTTGAATATTATATGAACATATTACTAGTATGTTGTATGACATATAACAAACATTGTGCATGGTATGTGATTCAGCAACTAAACACAATGTGAAAATTTTGTTTTAGCACAATTTGGCTCTGTTTGAAACCTGCTTTAAAAAAAACGTTGAAGTAGTCAAGTCTGTGGTCAACTTTCTAGATATAGAGGGATGGAAAGGGGCGTAGGCTGGGTAGGGGGTGGGGCCTTGGAAGGATTCTATGGTTTAGAGAGGTTAAGGCAACTCACTCAGATCCACTCTGCCACTAAATTGCTGTAAGCTTGGCAAAAGTTACCAACTACCATAGGGGGGATTTGAGCCAGCCATAAGTAATGCATTATCCATGAAACCTGAGATTTTTTTTTCCTTTTAAAAGTTTCACAGAAGTTTCTAACAGCATTGATGAAAATTGGAATTCATATTTGAAAACTTGTATCAGGAATTGTGTCTATTATGTGATAAAGTTAAGAGGTGGAAAAAAAAAAGAATTTTTGTTACAGCTTTCACACAGACTTGACTTTTAATCTATGAAGTGCAGCTTTGAAAGAAAAGTTTTGATTGTGTAGAATTTAGTGTGCTCACACTAGTATTGTTCAGCTCACGGTTATAGTTGATTTCAAAAGCAGTTAACTCCCCTTAGAATTTGCAAGGCAGCTTGCATTTATTTGCTTGTTTTTCTTTTGTGTCTTTCAGCAAAAAACATGTAAACGTATATCAGTGAAGGGTATATAGGGTAGGTATATAAAAACACAAAATATTTATAACTGGTATGCATGTGGTCTCTTCTGTCAGTCTTTCTCTGTTTCTTAGCCTACGTAAGCACAAAATGCTCATTTTAGCATATGTAAGCATAAATTGCTCATTTTAGCTTTCGTAAGCACAAAATTAATGCTCTGAAATTTTAATTTTTTCCAACTATTCTATATACCATGTATTATTTGTATGTTAAAAACATATACTCAAACAATATATTCAATTTTCAGTTGACCATATTATAAACTATATATTTGCTGAAAGGCATGCGTTTCTGTCTTGAAAGCTTATAGCCCCCAGATCCACTATAGAAATAATAATCTTGTAGCTAAAGTAAAGAAAGTTGCAGAATGCATGACTGTCTGAATCAGGTCAATATAACCCCCTTAAACTGCTGAATGGACTTGCCCAACTTCCATTTTTGGGACAGTCCATTATCAATTTTAGGGATATCTCTAAAAATTTGAAAATTGGTCAGCCAACCTGTATAAAGCCTGGTCAAAATGCAATTATTGGCAGAGTGGCCTGGCTCTGTATTGGTGGCTGAAGTTATTCTGTCGTGGTTCCATTATAATAAGAGTGAATTTTTATTAAAGGTGCAAATTTTTGTGACATTATACCAATAAAGTTTCTTTGAATACCTCCTGATTTATGGTGTTGCCAAAGCAACTTTTGCTTCTAAATTTTTACTTTGAAAAATATACAAGTTTATACAAAATTTTAATTTCAGTATTATTTTACATCTATACGAAAACTATCATAAATCTTCCATTGAAATATCTTTATAGCTATAAAACTTGTAACTAAAAGTACAGGTCTATCAAATTTTTATTTTAAATAATAAATTTATTTATGCATGCATGTTATTATCTATGCATATTTATATGCTTTCTGATTAAAGTCTCTACTCTTTAAAAATGTAGACTGGAATTTTATTGGGCTATTTATCGTATGTTGTGAAATTTTCTTCAGATGCGCAGCAATCATGTTAGAAATAATGCTCATATTGGCATCTGGTGTGATCCTTTATTAGTCAAAGTTGTAAAATCACCATTAGGCTCTAATAGTCCGAGAGGGGGAAGGGAGACAACTCATTTTTTGTCAACTTTTAAAGAATAAATCTCAGTCTACAAACTATTTTTATCTGTAAACAAACTAAAATTCTTTGTATTAAATGAACTTCTACAACCACAAGAGATAAGAACATCAATGATTTATTTTAGTTGTTTGATTTTTTTTTGGCAAAGTATATTTTTAAGTCTTGGCAAGTGTGATCATCTGAATCTCTCCGCCAAATATTCAGTGTAATTTGTAAGCTTGAAAAAAAAATGCTGCATTTTTAAATTTTCATTTTTTTGAATGTGTTTAAATTGTCTTAAAGTATTTTTTCAAATTTAATTAGGATTTGATTTTAATTATAAAGAATGGAGTTTTAACTGATAATAGCCAAAATGTGCAGTGAAGTGTCCGAAATTTTTTAGCCATTTATCTATCTTCTGTTATATGTAGGAGTTCATTTTGTACAGATATGCATGGAATATAGCATGATTTTATTTTAACACAAGTCAAACTGATAACACAATTTTCAGATTTTCCTCAAAACAGCTTTACCCACTCTCAGGCACCCAAAATCTTCTAACATTCTCACCTTGACTGCAAAAAAAAAAAGTTCCCCACTTCTAAAAATAAATGTTCCCCATGTTGAAAAATGTTCCGCATTGTTGAAAATGTCCCTGTTCCACAATTTTGGTCATGGTTGTGATTTCTTCTGCTAATGCTTCCTTACAGTGAATAATTAAAATATTTATTATTGTTATGTAACAAAACCTACCTCTTTCTTTTTTCTGACTTATTGAATGAAAGTTTTTAACCTAACAAAGAACCTAAAGAATGAAAATTAATTTTCTGCTTTTGATTGAAAACCAAACCTCACTTCACAGTCTGTCCAAAGGATTATTTTACCTAATTTCCACAAAAATGAACCCAACGAATGAAAATTAACAAAATTCTGCTTTTGACTGGAAAACCTATTACAATGAACCTAAAGAATGAAAAATAACATTTTGACTTTAATTCCTATATAATGCACCAAAAGAATAAAAATTAATATTTCTGAATTAATGTCAATTGATCTTGATTATTTTCTAGGAAATAATTTTATTCTATCTTTATATATACTTGAATGGTACATAATGTATTTAGAATTTAAAAAATAAACTCATTTAAAAATGTTGGTTATGAAAGGACTTTTTATTTTAGATTCATAACTTAATATGACCTTTATTGGTCGAAACAAACATCATATTTGATTTGAATAAAAGATTATGAATTGCTTAGTCAAATACTAAAGTGAAGAGATTCTTCACAATATTTTTTAAAACAATGAAAAAATAAAGATTAAATTAGGTTACATGTAAATTCAAAACAATTGTAGAGAGTAAAAAATACATTTTTTTTCCAGGAACTTCTTTAACCATAAAAGAACACCAAAGAAGATTATTTTTCACAAAGATATTCACAAATTGAATTAAATTAAATGATTTTTTACTAACAATAATTCTGATATATATGTTTTCTTTTCCGATATCAAGTATAAAGAGGTCATGAAGTATTTGCAGAAGATATTACAAAATATAAAAGAAGGTATGAAATTTTCGCATATTTGTTCAACTATTTTGTAATTGGGTCAATTTTGGTTTTCAGACTATCCCGGATTCTTTTGAGGAAGCAACGTATTTTGATAGCTGTAGTTAGATGCCAGTCTTCTGTAGACACTACCCAAGATTCCATTCTCTTCTTCTGATTGATCAATGGTTGCCTGGCAACGAAGTGTTGTTTCTTTTGCAAATGTTTATTACGTCATAGGGCGTGCAGAAAAACATGACATAAATCTACAATCATATGAAATCTGAATATTGTGTTTAAATATTTTGTGACTGCATGATCTCAGTAAAGACATATAGAATCAACCAATCGGAATGCTTTATACATACTATAGACTGCCCAATCAGTATGCTTCTTTCATAATGGCAGCCCAATGAGAATGTTTCGTCTATATTTACAGCCCAATGGGAATGCTTCTTACATGTTGGCAGCAGACTGATTTTCGTAAACATTAATTACAGTGTGATTAATTCTTTTTTTTACAAACTAATTTAGTTTAGAGAGAATTTTGTTAATACAAATATAAAGTGGTCAGTTAGTGCTTGCATAGTGAAAGTTTTGTTACTAGAAGTTTGTATTTGGTTTTATTTTTTGTCATTGATTCGTCAGACACCTTATTATATACATGTTAGTGACTAGTGTAACTTATTGTGTTAAAACATATGTATAGCATGAAGATAGTAAAAAAAAATGTATGTTTTTTGTGTATATTGTGTTATGCACCTTGATAATGTACTCAAATTAATTTTGTGTAATTAACTGAAGTACTCAATTCAGTGTATTTTGTGGGTTCTTTATTTTTAACTTCATGTGTATTTGATTTGTTTCACGTTTTTGATTTTTTTTCTGATTTTTTTTTAACGAAACTAATCCTTTTCAAATATTTTTGTATTAAATATTCATTCCTATTTGTGTTCCAGTGCCGATAGACAGTAAAGACTCTGGCAGATATCGATAGACACTTTCCCCATGCCATTAATTTCTTCAAAAACGAAAACCCAAACATTTACAATTACAAAACCAGCGGCAAAAAAAACCCAGATATATCGTCATTTTTTACATTATTTCTTAAAAAACATCGACACCAAAAACATTTATTGTACAGACATTTCTCGAACATCTAATGAAAGATGTGTTGATGAAAACGAAACATTTATATGAAACGAAACGTGTTTCAGGTGCAATGTTGCCTTTTTGAAAAATGCTGATGCTGCTGCCAGGCTTTAGAATCACTATTTTCGTGTTTTAAAGCCGATGTGTTTTATATAAAAAAAAACCTGTGAGATACCTCAGACCACCTGCTTTAAAAACTGCCTGCGGAAGTTACGGATGATTGATTTACGCACGGAACATTTCAGATATTGCACCATTTTCTTTTTGTCATGACTGGTTTCATTTACAACGTTCATAAACGAGAAGAAGTACTTGAGGTAGTGCCAGATGCTTGTTGCAGTATACACTGATAATATCCATGACCATTTTTCGGAATTTAAAATAAAAAAAATCGTACAGCGGGACTCGGGATTATTGTTACAGAGAACATTTTATGTATTTTGAAATAAAGAACACCGTTACAGTGATGTATCTGGCCCTGACTTGACTATTTCTGAAATTTAAGAAAATCTTGTAAAGAATTATTTATTCATCATGCTAATGGAAGACAAAATGTGTATTCTTTCATTTATAGTGGAGCAGAATACCCAGTAAAACCTTCCTGATTTGAAAAGAAATTGTTACCTCATGTAGAAACCGCTGTATTGAAAGTGTGTTAGTATTTTATAGAAAGTACACGGTAAATTAAAATTTTTCCGTCTTAATTTATTATAATATTATATTGTATTACTTCCCTTTAATATTTTTTTCCTTTTCCTGTTTGTTATTTTTGTTATATTTATGAGTGATATAATTAAAAAAGGAATTTAGCTCAGCATATTGTTTTTACATGTGTGTGTGGTGTTAGAAAATAGTAGTTGTCGGATTCTAGTGTATAAAATTTCATATCAAGAATTTTTTTTACCCATTTAACTACATGATGACGACAGGTCCTTGTAAATTTGTAATCATTTATCAATTATTCATCGTTATCTATTGCTATGAATTGTTGACGAAGAAATCGTAGTTGTAATATATTCATTTCGAGTATTTAAATGAAAACCATTACGTATTGTACCATATTGCATCGTGTAAACTATTTATTCCTAAAAAGTCGGGAAGTTTTATTTTTATGTGAAACGTTTTTTTTTTGTCTTTGTAAATATAAATATAGACAAAGCCCTTATTGCAGCAGATGAATGAACAATATGTGAACTTGAGGCGGTTTAATTTTTTTTATCTATAATTTTCGAGAAAAAAATGTGCGATGACATGCTTTGTCAGAAGTTCTAAATTCGACCTAATGAGTGCAAGTCCCCCCTTCATTTCAGACAATTTAATATCCAATGTAAAAGAAAGATTAGTTTTTCTTTGTACCATTGTAGTTAACCAGTCTGGAAGAAGGTACCTTAACATTCCAAAACCATATTTAAGCTTATAAAAGATGATTTTTTTGCTATGTTTTGAAAAGAAACACTTCAGGCTATTGTAAAAGGTTTAAAGAATTAAGTCTGTGACAGCAAAAAAACGTTTTTAAATGGACTGCAAATTTACATTGATTGAACATTTGGGTTTTATATTGCGGAGAAAGTTCCAAAAGCTAGGCATTTTATTTCTATTTTTGAGCTGCCCAGATAAATCATATAATGTGAAATTGATTTTTTTTTTTTTGAAAGCGACTTCCCAGTTGTATAACAAGAATTGTATCTGAACATGCAAGATTAAGTACCTGTTTGTTAAATGTGTCTGTCCCCCTGTAAGTAAAGCTCCAATGGCTGCCCTCTCACAAACATTTATGCAAAAAAACAATTTGTGTAAGAATGCCGTTAAAATGTTGAAATTGATTGAATGAAAATTTGGTGTTGTATATTTTGTCGTTTTTTTTTCCACAACTAGTTGTACCATTTTTTAGGGCTTAGAGCTCAAATGATATAAAAATACAGAGGTCAGATGAACCTTCCGATGGGAGGCCATGTTTGATTCCTGTATTTGTAGTTTCTATGTCTAAAAATAGTAACATAGTTTGTTATACCGTTTATATGATTATGGTGTTCCAAAATGTGTTACTTATTTTGGAGTCAGATTTTTTTTTATTTTAGTATTATTCCAGTGTTTTGATACATAAGGCAGCATTCTGACACGATTAACACAGGTTATGAAATCCAACTTGAAGGTCGATTTATTTTTCGTTTATGTTTTTATGTTACTCTGACAACAGCGCAGAATTGACAACACTTGTGTATATATGACATGTATAAATTATGCAGTTGATGTGATTGTAATATATAGAATATAGTAATTTATGCCTCGTATTCTGAAAAAGTAAAACCATCAAAGACTGCCAAATTGTTAATAAAACACTTAAAAAGTACAACATTGTTTGTTTTCTTAACTATTTTTGTAATTCCTGCTACAGAGTAGCCAACATATAGGGATCAGTTCTCCATCATTTATTTGTCCGGCCATTCATCTGTATACACCTCAAAAACCACTGGTGCAGTTTCATCCAAACTTTACAGGAATGATCAGTACCAAGTGAAGTTGCCCATATTGTCTCTCTTATACTACTATACAATTTGAGTGAAACTACAAGATTGATTGGTACCTCAAGTAGATGTACCTGTACATATTTAATGGGTTTTGAGGATGAATAATTTTTGGCTGAGTTATGGCCTTTGGATAAGAAAAGCACTTTGACCTGTTAATGACTTTTATGTCACTCGTTCCATGAAATGAAATTTCATCTTAAACACAAAAACAAACATCTATATCCTACAAGCCATTAACAGTAATCATATAAAACCTTGACCCTCTGCAGTTGTAATACAGCAACACAACCTTCTGAATTAATATTCCAAACCAAATTAATGAATGCTAGATATTGGTGCACTTTAGGGAAGAGTGTTCTTTTTATGAAATTTTTTAAAATTTCTTGCTATCTAAAGACAATTACATATTTGAGCATTTGAGAAGCAAAATATAACGAGAATCAGGTGATGCTCCCCAAATTTTTTGGATACAGAAAAGTATACCTCTTGTAGTTTCAGAGTTATGTCCCAGACAAAGTTCAAAGTGCATTAACTCCAAAATTAGGCAAGGCAGAGTTACGGCTCTTGTGCACTACACATCTACCCTATGAGATCTATCTACCTACACAGTTTCGTGTTGATAACTCTTGTTACAAAGTTATGTCCCAGATGGACAGACAAACGGACGTACCAACTTTTGATATTTAAGAGGTAAGTCAGCTCATAAACTACACCTGGACCAAAGTCCATAAGCAAAATCAGCTCATAAAATAAAAAAAATAGCTCTTAATTTGAATTTTATGAGCTTTTGTTCTTTATTTAACTACGGAATGAAGCTCATAAATATCAAATGTTTGCTCGGATGAACATACAAAGCGCAACTATATGCTCACCCTTAGGGGAGCATAAAATGTGTTCATATTTTGTTTTGCCAAAACAATTTAGGTCATATGGGACCAAAACAGGCAGGAAAGATGACTTTGGCTAACTTTCTAACTTAAATCAAGACCAGAGGTCAAAACCTCACCTGTTGGAGCTAAGAGATGCATAGACTCCAGTAATTGGAACCCATTTAGTCGACTCTTACCATCACTCAGGATGGCTGCAATTCTGATGCCTCAATCCTAAAAGGCAACCCCTCAGCCACAAGGGTGTTACATGTAAATACAGACGGCCACACAGAATGATCACAATAATTCAACTAAAGCAAGCTTTATGTCAGCTAGGCTAAAACAACTAAAACACCTGCATCAATTTTATTTCATATTTTAATTAGATTTTTTACTGTGTGTACACTTCAATAATAAAAAAAAAGGATAAAAAAATAATTAAAAATATTTTTTATGTAACAATACGAAGTTAACAAAAAAAACTTACACAGGAAATATCACATGTAGAAGGTAATCATGCCACAAAAACAAAATGCTAGGACAGCATTGTTCATGTTTTGTTAAGTCATTACCGTCATAAGAACTTTCTTTTTCTACAATATCTAAATAATTTCTATTAATTTTATTTTTCAAGTTCTCAAAAATTTATCATACTGAATATGGTGTGGATAATAAATTGAAGTAAAAAAAACAACTCATCCCTATGAATCTGTGCAATGGACTTATCCAAATTTTAATTTTGACCAATACCCTTACCCCTATAAATTTGAAAAATGGACTTTTCCACGATTTTAATTTGAACCTATCCATAGTTTCCTGGGATTTCAATAACAAAATTTGAGCAACCAGAATTGAATAGACTAGTCAAAACACAGAGACCGGGCTGTGAAGTGGTGACAATGTCAAGTCATTATCATTGTTAGCCTACTTCAACATTAATAATAAATATCAATGCCTTGATTAACTTGTCAATAATTCTGTTTAATTGGGGAGATAACCATTCTACTGGTTTAAAAATTATAATGAAAATCGATATACTCGCTGCTATTTCCAGATTTTAACTTATATCATCTCTAAATTCATTCATGAAAGTACACTAACTTATTCAGTCATGTTAGTACACTGACACTTAACCATTCTAAATACCTTAAATGGACTTGTCCAATTTTCAATCTAGACAAAACCACTCATCCTTTTTAAGGAATAACTTTCAAATTATTTATGAACTGAATAACAAACAGTGCAGACCATGATCAGACGGCACAGATGAGCTTGAAGCATGTTTAGAATCTGTTGCCACCAGTGGACTAAACGTTAATTATTTTAAATAATCTATATAGACTTCGGACAAAAAGCTTTTAAGATGATAGCATACATCGTATTTATCAGGATAACACTTGATATTTAAACTATTTTCAATGACGGTTCTGGTATCTGATTAACTAATCTTGCACTATTACAGATCATTGTACATGTTTAACTAGACAGTCGCTGTAAATTGGTTATCATTATCAGTTGATAATGAACTGTCTAGTTCACGCCATCAGTTTGAACTATGATGGTTTGACCTGTCTACGTGTTTCACGGTACGAGATAACTTATTTTCTATCATCTAGTGATATCATAACAGCAGCCGTGGGCTGATGAACGATAAAAATAACATCTGATTACAGAAACTATTAACATTCGAGGCAGACGCAATATAGGAAGATAGAGTAATGTCCGAGATAATTAGAGCGTAATCAGAGCTGATGGAGTAATGTCCTAAACAAATGTAGCAATGTACAAAATAATTAGGGGATAAACAAACCAAGTAATGTCTGAGATAAATAGATAATTTTACTGACGTATAACTTCTCAGCTGTTAATATCCGAGAGTTAGGCCAGGGCAATGGATTCTCAGTAAGTGACATATGTTAAAAGTTCGGGAAACTTACTAGTGTAAAAGTTCGGTAAACTTACTGGTACAATTCAAGTTCAGAAAACTCACTTAATATTTCATTAAAATTATTTATGGATTTAATCAAATTTTAATAGCAGTGTCAAAAATGGACCCCTGCTATTAGTGTATACATCTGAGCAAGCCTACACATTTATGTTCTCCCTGACTAGACTATTTGGCTATCTCCTCAACCTCAAAATTTTCTTATTGAAATCCCTCCAATTGCAAATGAACTGTTCTCAACTTAAAGCAGGATTATTCCATTACACAAATTAAGACGGGTATCAGTTAAATTTGGAAATTAACACAACTTTTAACTGAATGAACATTATTTTGACAAAGTTGAGACCCAAATTTGAAATACCATATTTGTATTAAATCATTGCTCTTCGGAATTTATATGAAACATTTCTAAAAAAATTTAGACTGTATAAAATATGCTGGTAATAAAAACTCAAAAAAGAAATTTCTTTTTAGGTAAGACAATTCAGAACATACTGGGGTCATACCTTCACATCATGCTCAATATTTCACTGTTTTACATCAATATACAAAACAAATCACTGTTAACATTTAAGTAAGTTATTTCGTGTCAAAACTTTTTACAACACAATTAAAACAATTGTTGTTTTTCTAATATAAAATATCATACAAAACACAATTTTCTTTTTTACTACTAAGCTTAATACAAAATTATCGACAGAATAAAAAGAATTTTTCTTGGTGTACAAGTTATAAAATTGACTTTTTACTGACATGTATTTTTACTGCCTAGACACACATCTGGCCATAGCAGTCTTTACAAAACTTCACTACATAGCATTTGAATTTTGCTTTAAAAGAAAAGGGTGGTGGGGGAGTGGGGGAACACATTCATATCTTTAAACACAAATAAAAAGCTGTTTTCAAGGTGTTTTTTTTTTTTAAATAATGTACTTAAATAGTAAAAATTACAATTTACTAGTCATTGAACATTGAACTATGATTACTTTTGACTCATCAATACACAAATAAAAAACTGTTTTCAATGTTTTTTTTTTTTTAATAATCTACTTAAATATTAAAAATTATTAGTCGCTGAACTTTGGACTACAATTACTTTTGATTCATCAAAACTATAAATGAACATTTCCTATATAAAAACAAGCTACAATTTTTCAATTGCCTCACTCTGGCCTTTTGTAAAAATAAAGTTTGATTGCATTGTGCTTATCAAAATCTACCTTACTATTTCATTATTAGCTAACACAAATAAGAATTACATATAGACTTTAGTGCAGAAACAGGAGTGATTTCGAAAAAAAAGAAATACACACAAAAGTAATGTGTTGCACAAAAAGTTTCAAAAAACATACAGTGAAATATTAAATGTCTTTGGTAGCAAAGGCAAAATCAATTTAAAACTTCAGAACACGATGAGTCAGCACTAAATAAAGATATATTTACATGGAAATTTATACTGGAATGTGTACAAGTTCTATTAAATCTATGAGCACCTTTTGAGTTTGCTTTTTTTTTGGTTTTTTTTCTCTCTTCAATATTTAACAAGACTATTTCTTAGTTTAAAAATTACTGGTTTCCTTCACATAGGTAAAATAAAGTCAACATAGCAACATATTGCTTCCAATCTACCAGTGCTAGCTTTTTAAATTCAAACAAAAAGGAATAAACCATCAAAATTAAAATTGCCTTTTTTGCTATTGTAAGTATAAAAATTCTACAAATTTGATAAACTATTTCTAAAAAACAGCTTAAATCTACATTTTTCCTAATTTTTCTCTTTAAATGAAAGAAATTTTCTATCAAGAGAACTATTCTGTCAAAGACAACAGACATATTCTGTCGATATAAAATTTCTGTCGAGAGAAATTTTTCTGTCGTCATGCCTCCGCAGTTTCCTGCAGGATCGGACAGGTGTGTTGTTGCCAATAGCAACATTCCCTATAGCAACATGCTGTTTCCTTGGTTACAAAACCTTTCTATTTAGATTTCCTCCATCACACTTGCATTGTATTAGTTGTACATCAATCTCTAATCCAGTTACCATGGAAACTGCAAGTTACTTCACAACTTATAATAAAATGGTAGCAATCAAGTAACCATTCAATATTTCAACTCGCACATTTGAATCTTAAAAGTTTCATCTATTCATTTAACATTCGGAGAGAGACATATTTCACATGGAAGTAAAACACAAGTGTACACACTTTTTTTATAATCAAGTTCCTGAGGTAAAAATGGGTTCTGAAATATAATCAATTCTATAATTTATAAAAATTAACCAAAAGCAAATATATTTTAATTCTTCAAGTTAGTGTTGATTTTTTATTAGACTTCATTTTACGCTTCCAGATGTTAACTTAAGGAATTTATTGATAAAGATATCAAACTAAATGCAAATCTGGTGGTAACAATGTAATGAACATTTAAAATGGGGTATCACAAATATAACAATGATATAAATGGTATGAAAAAATTCAAACAGTGCTCTTTGATGAACCTTGATTTGTATGTAAGTTGAGAGAGTGTTAAATTAAGGATAAAGGAAGAAAAGTTAACACAAACTATTTAAGGGGTACAAAACTTTCAAAATCCTTCCAGTGAAAAAAAAAAATGATTTTCAATTTATAAAAAAAGTTTAATGAATAGATCTGCATAAAATTCAATTTAATAAATTTTTATATAAAATAGATGTCACTTGACTACAAAATGAAAAGTAGTTTATTTTTTCTATTCAAAAAAATTTACAATATTCAAAGATACCAATTTCACTAGACAACACCTAAATCACTTAATAAAAGAATTTTACTGTAATGAGACGTAAAATGGTTACCTGGTATGAAAAAATCAACATAATAGTTTTACTCTGTCCGCAAAAAAATATATTTGACAAAAAAAATCTTTAAAAAATTCCATAATCTGAAATACAATTCATATAAAAACTTTTTTATATAAAATTTAACCATAGATTAACTTTAACTTAGTTCTCTTACATGTATAAATTTCTAGTAAAAAATCATTAATAAAAATCTGCAGCTTTCTTGTTGTTTTAATCAAGAAGTTTTTGTAACACATATATATTCATTTTCTAGCGCCTAAATTTCAGATAAAACTTTTAAAAACAAAACAATGAAATATAATCAAAATATAGGCTATTATTTTTTGATTTCTGGAACACACGTCTATTATAAATAAATCTTGCTAATGTTGTACGAAAAAACTGCATTGTTATGGCATGTCTACGATACATTTACATCATGAAGAATTTCACAATCAAAATCACAAAATCAACTTATTTCTGTACCCTTCATTTATAGCATTTCCATATATACACACAATTAACTTTAAATTAAAGTTCTATTTAATATTACTCTTGATTTTAGAGACAAATATAATATATAAATACAGTTTTAATGCAGAGATTCTGTGATTTACATAATGCTGTACAAAACAATTTATTCTTAATTTTGTATCGAAGGACAAAAAAACAAACAGTTTGATTGATTAATCTAAATTTCATAGCAAAAAAACAACAAAAGTTTAATTATCCAGTATGTAACTCGACCAAAAAAACAAACAATTTGATTCATCTACAATTTATGTCGGAAGAAAAAAAAGTTTGATTACCAAGTATGTAACTTAACCAAAAATCATACATTTTATTTTCTGCCTAATTTGTTAATGTCCTTTTGCTTGAGTGTATCTGCCAGTCTTATTAATCAAGCATCATTCCTTTTGCTTAACTTTTAAGTCTACATACACATGCAAATTTCATTCAATCATTTACTCATGAACCAGTCTCCGATCAAAACATGGCTGATCGACAAGCCTTGCGAAAAGTTTGAATTTTCTTTTCTGATTTACTATTTACAGGCCATACTGTCCAGACAAACCCTTCAAAAGTATTCACTTATAAAGTAAATTTGAAGTTGAATGTATCTGTTCTATAGATTTGTTAGATCTAGAAAATCTTACAGTGCTACAATTATAAAATGAGTGACAAACTCTATGTAAAGACTTTTGAATTAGCATAATCTATATATATGCTGTTATATACAGGTATGCAAATATAAAGGTCAAAAAGGTAAGCTAGAAAAAGCTAAATATTTCAAACGCGAGATTAATCTTCATTGTTCTAATCATATCCATGATTAACAAATGTAAGTACTATTTAAGATTGAGACATTGTCAAGTTTAATTCTTCAATGAAATAGCACCTTGTTTTAACGTTCCAAATAGGGCCTTTTTTTATATAATGAAGCCACTACTACATACTTTGAAAACTATTCATTGATCTCAAAAAGATTTAAACCATTTAACAAAAATATCATGTTCTTGAATACTACTCCTTCCATCTAAAAATCTAGTTCTTTTTCACACATATCCACTCCCTATAAACAAAATTTGGTCCTGTAATAATCGGTAATGTTTTGCGGAGACTGGCGTTCTCATTTTTTTATGTACGAAAGAAAAAATCACAGATATTTAAGATATTCAAATCTCTTCAATTGTGCCACCCCAACGTAACCGATATTTCCGGTGCCGCCAAACAATCGCCGACGAGAAATGACCTTTCAAGGAGAGATACGATGACGTGCACTCTCTAAATAACCATGCACACAGGAACTCGAACTTGCTGAATGGCAGCGGACCATTCTGACAGATGTTAAGTAACGTATAGTCTACTAGAAACCACACCAGCACGTGCATCAAGAAAAATGCCATTGATGATAAACCGAATAAATACTCTACACACCATGATATAAGAAGACCTGAAAATAAAACAAAAATTAAATGAATTTGGGTGACAGCAAATTACGGTAACAATAACTCATCTTTTTTACTGCAATACCACCTGATTAAAACCAACACCTTAAAAATATTTGATGTCCAATCAAATATATGCATTTGATCTTCAACTAAATACAAAACTAACATGTTAAAAGTTTCTTCATCATTTCTAGCATAATAGCATTGGAAGAATATACGGGTGATTCTGTTTGTTTTTTCAGGTACAAGGGAGCCGAGGTAGAACCACTTACCATCCGTAGATAAAATTGCAACTTTTTGATAACTTCCTCGGTCACTGACCTTTACAATCAAGTCACAGAAAAGAAGCACTCAAGTAGAACCAGCAATCTTCCAGAAACAAGCTTGAAGAAGCTAGCTTCTTCACATTTGATATCAATGACTACCAGTATCTAAAAAAATATGAGCAAGTTTTCCAATCCGGACACCCGTCAATTTAAATAATGAATTTGCCCTGCTTTGAATATGGATCAGCCTATTGTTATGCTCAGGAATGTCGGCATTAAAATAAGAAAACTTAGCCGGATTAGACTGCACAGAAGTAAGCAGAATGTTTAAGTTCTATATACTGTGTATTTAGGTTTGTTTACCCTCGCCACTGAAAACATTACCATATTGGCAAGCAAAGTTTAACACTGGTGGCATAATTTCATAATATGGGCCATGCCACAACAAAACCAAATTAAATGGGTTTGCGACCAGCATGGATCCAGACCAACCTGCGCATCCTCGCAGTCTGATCAGGATCCATGCTGTTCGCTTACCAACCCTATTACAAGTAGAGAAACTGATAGCAAACAGCATGGATCCTGATCAGACTGCGCAGGCTGGTCTGGATCCATGCTGGTCGCAAACGCACTATGTTGGTTTTGTCATGACACGGCTCATATAAGTAATTCTCCTTGTTAAACATTCTAAGATTCAATTCCAAATTCTACAAACCTTGTAAAATACATTCAGAAAGAGGCTCTAAAACAAGAAGAGTTGGTACAGTTGCTACGCGCAGCCTTCCCCACCGTGTCAATCTTTGATGGAAATGATCAACACTGTACGCACCGGAATTCTGCATGGCTAGCATGTTACTTAATTTCACCTTAAATCCTCTGAAAAAATAAATCACAACTTATTAGGTTTATTGAAATTCAAAAGCACAAATACAATGGTGTACAATAAAATCAAGGTATTCTTGCAAAGCCAAAATTTTGCATAATCAACATTTCAGAGTATTTAGCAATGTTAAATCCCTGTGAATATTTACTTTTGAGTTCTATAAAATTTATATGATATATGGATATTCAGATATTTAGTGATCATTTGCTTTTCGTTAAAATCTTCTATAAGAAAAATAAGCAAAATTTAATATCTCAAAAAAAATTCTGACTTTACAGTAAGATAAACTGTGATGCAAATGATCAATTATCCACAAATTAATCAAACCAATCAGAAGTTGACCGCTGCAATGACTTGCACAAACTTTTCATGTACTGTCACAGATATGACCATGAAACATAGCTAATACAATCATTTACACCTCTTACCCTTTTCCACCAGTGTAAAACCAGGTCAGCATGATCATATCTGCAGTCTGACCTGGCTTTATATTATTGGTAGCTGAACTTTGTCATATTTTCATATTGAAACCCCTTAAACTTTGAACAGACTGTAATAAATTCAAAGCACTGCTAACTGATTACACAAATTCAGCAGGTTAGGGGCTAAGCTGCAGCTGACCACCTTGGACGGTACATTTACATAATCTCAAGTTTTACATTACATCAAAACTGTTAAAGCTCATGGTGACTACTCAATTTGTACGACCACATTTCCATAATTTATGTCAGGTACAAACAGGCATCTTGGTGGAAGCATATCAGTATATCATAGCCTTTGACATAAGTATTTATTTTGACCATTTCATTAATATCGTATATGCAGTCATTAATACATGTATATTTGTTGACATGTTTAACTGTTAGCAAATCCTAGCAAATAAAGTAACATGAGATTAATTTTAGCGTACAAATTATTTTTTTGGTTATCATTGATGTCACTGATTGGTATGATGTGTTGTGACCTTGACGTTGTACTTACTGTTGGACCGTTTGATGAGCTAAAAAGAAATCCTCGGCAAGATATTGAGCAAAATGTTGAAGTCCTCCCGCCCGTTCTACAATTTCTTTCCGGATCATGGAAGACATTCCGGTGGAACAGTTTATACCTAAAGCTATCGCTGTCAGCATGTTACGCGCTTGCATTGTACCGAAAAACACCTGGCAGAAGGGGGAAAAAAAATACCGAATTAATTCACAGTATCATAATAATTGTCAAAACTTAACATCTATAACATGGACCAGGACTAAAGAAACTCACATTGCAGCTATAAATCTGTCTATAAGGTGGGGATAAAACATTCTGTAAAATGGGGGATCCCTTGTTAGCAATAAAAACAAAGTTTACAAGTGAAAATTGCATATTCGGTTCATTTGGGTCTCTTTGTGAGTGCAACACATCTCGCTCCCCTCTAGCACTGATTTAAACAGTAATCAAATTTAAACACATTAATGTATTAGAATCAATGATCCCAAGGACTAGTAAAATGATCTCTGAGAACAAGTAAAAATGTAACACTTAAAAAAGAAGACGTAAGGCGCTCTTCCTACGTACTTATATTTTCAGAATCAGGCAATGGAGTAGAACAACTGACCTTCCGTCAGCCAGCTGGATATCTTCCTTACATGACCCAATTTAATGTCAAAGGTGAAATTCAAAGGGACCACATAAATATAAATTTTAATACATTATTTCATATATAATTCCAAGAACTTTTATCACAATTATTCAGAATCATTTTAGTATATTTTGTTTACACAAAACTTTTAAAGGAATATGATAACTATAACACTCAGAGAGAAAACAATATGTCAACTACACTATTATGTTAAAAGAACACTCTGTTAGTACCAGAAAATGCAAATGTCTCACACAATATAATACCCCTACTACAAACACATCCTATCACCTCAAAATAAAACGTCAAATTCCATAATTTTATTCTAAATTTTCAGTTCAAAGTATGGAAAGCAAACTGTAACAAATTCAATTTCAGTTTGTTTGATTGAAGTCTGTTTAAGACGACACATCCTCACTAAATTCTATTTAAGGTTTTTGTCCTAATTTGCAATTTAAAAATCCAACTTTTGAATGAAATATACCCTCTCAAGACTGAAATTGTAAAAAAAAAATAAAATGCCAATGCTGTAAAAATCTCACCAGTCATATAATAAAAAGTTCATATTATTGAAAAACCTGTAAATACAAAATATTAAAAATTATGACTAAATAACTCTACAATGTAGTATATGCATTTGAATACAGCAATATATACTTCAAAATTTCAGCACACAAAACTTTGCCTTAAATGTCCAGAGTATTCACTTTTTATACTGTATATAAAGTCTAAAAATATTTTTTAAAAACCATTAAATATGTGAGTTGTTCAGATGACTTTTGTTAAGATTACTACCCAAGTAAACATTTATGGTGTTGTTTTTGTTGTTGTTTTGTGCTATGTAAGACTTTCACAGGCAAAGTATATGCATGCTGAAGATAAAAATTTGAAATGAAAAGTTTTTGACCACACAGAAAAATTATCATATGTTAGTCAATGTCAAGTGTTATCTCTAATTTTGAACATCAGTGCATATCAATGTCACATGTACATTATTTAAACAGGTGTTAACATTGTCTTACTTTAAACTTTATACTATAAAATGTTAGATATTTCCTTTGCTATTTCTTTATCAAATATTAACAGACACATGAAAGTGCATGACACAGCTACAGAAAATTAAGCTAAACTTTTCTAAGATCATTTTGCTGAGAAACAAACTATGAAAAAAGTGCTAAAAATCTGGTATTTTAATGTGCGAATTATAACCTACTAAAACATTAGCTATTGCTGTGCAAATTCTATGAATTCCCTGACCTTTTCAAAAAATCTATTCAAGTTAACATATGTTTTACAAAAGTACTTAATTTTAAGACGCAGTATCAATTTAAGGGCCAGTCAATAAGTACGAAAATAGAGGCTTATGTTCGAGTTAATACAGAAATAGTCAAAGAGTAAATAGACTGATAAGATTTCTTCTACTTATTAATATGATATTTGTTATGACTAACAGTTCAACTACAAGTAAATATAATGTATATATATTTCATAAAATACATAAATGAAAAGAGTGGTCAATAAACCTTTCAAGTCAGATGGATTAAAAACGAAACGTTAGTGCAGCTAATCCTTACTATATGCTCTTAAACTCTGAAAACCAAACAAAATATAAACATTCATATATATTTGTAAGTAATGTACAGTGTGCGTCACTGGCGGGATGAAATGTGCGTCAAATTATCAGGGAAAAAATCTTGATATAGTTCAATAGTTCAACAATTCACCATGTCATGCATATGATTATAAATGGTTATACATAATGTGCGTCACTGGACGGAAAATATGAATGTGCTTCAAATTAACTAAAACATATCTCGAAAGAGTTTTATTATTTAACAATTCAACAATTCATGCACATGAACATAGAAATTATATATAGTTATAAATTATGTGCGTCACTGGACTGATTATTTGAATGTGCGTCAAATTATCTTAAAATAGTTATTAATGAAATATTTACATAGTTCTTAGTCAGGCATCAAAATATTTTCAGAGTCACTAGTCCTGCAGAGCAAGTAGCTACTAAACCTGATGTGCAGGCAACATTTTTCTACTCTCCCTGCATCAAGTTCTCTTAAATTCTACTTGTAATTACGAGCGGACAAGTGAAATTTTCAATCTCTGCTTAGTTCATACTAATTCATATTGAAACATAGTTTTACATATTGCACTTATCATAGAATGCAAATATGGCAATCTTGAACTGAACATACTATTTTTGCTAATTTAAATTTCTACAACTTGATCATAAAGTCTAATGTAAAAGACGACGGGCAGTACTATATGCAATTTATCCTTTAATTTAGTAATGAAAAGAAGATGCAAATCAAAGTGATAATGATTCTTTTGTCAGATTTCAAGTATCACTTTACTTTCATAAACTTAATCAGCATGCATGAATATTGACAGCTTTTGCACAATTGGCAAAGCACAGTTTGGTGTGATACTTTCCCCTGCGGAAAAAAACTTTTTCATTTAACAAAATAATCGTAAGGACCTATATTGTAGGGAACAGTTTCTTGCTTAGCATGCAAGACATGCTTAATTAAAATTGATTATGTAATGAAATGTAGTTTTTAACTCTGAATCAAGGCAAACATGTGTTTATGGTACTTGAGGTTACATACAAATATGACAACCCTGTGTATATCTTGAACTTTAAAGAACTCCACTGAAGTCCAAAGGCCTAAAACATAAAATTTGAATTTCATACATAATTCAGGTGGGGCACAGTCCCACTTAAAACAGAAAGATATGGTAAAGAAAAAAAGAAGAAAATATCTAAAGAAATAAATTGAAAATTTTCTTTTGTGACATTCTTACACAGATTGAGTAAAAAGCAAAGAAATGCTTTTCAATTTCCAGTTGTTTTGTTTGTTTTGTTTTTTCACAATCAAAATAATCATTCTGGAAAATGCAGTCAGCAAATGATCTGACTTTTGCACAAAAGTTATTGGTACAGACCCATCTATATCAAATTGAATATCAATCTCAAAAAAATTATTTCAGAACCGACATGTTTAAATAACTCAGTGGAGTCCCTTTAACGTTTCAACTGGGGGAAAATGGTAAAACCGTAAATACATGTGTATGGAATATCATGCACACATAAAAAATAGGTTGGGAATAATCGCAACAAAAGAATGGGATTTCCCTCCCCCAACACCCCATCATGAATCAAGTATGAACCCAAATAGAATTAAATGATGAAAACAGATTTTCATTTAATCAGACCAGCAATGGTTAAATTGCTTAAAAACAAAAGTACAAAATTTACTCATATTTCAAATTGAATTTTTTGCACAGATAAAACGCCATTCTTTTGTTGTTTACATGTACCAAATGTCTTTAAATCATATTACACATACATACCTTTTCATATATTGCGGCAAATCCTTTACGATCGCAACAAAAAGGCATCTGTAAAACAAGCCCTGTATCAGCAGTCATGTGACCCACCATGTCCATTAGAACTTCTGGTGAAGCTAAAAATAGAGAAAAAGTATGGCATAAAATAAATGTTCAGGAATATTGAGTAACCTAAGAAAACATTAGCCCCCCCCCCCCCCCCAAAAATGAGTTTCATTTACACCAGGGCGGTTATGGTCATATGGTAACTTTCAAAAGAAAGCAAAGTAATATTCATTGTGTATGGTGCACTTTCAAGGATTCTATTTATTCTATATTATAGTTTACACAAGAGGAAACATTAAATTTGTCCTGGGTCTATCAATAGTAATCATTTTAAAATGAATTGGTTATAAACAAATTTTATATTCTGTTAGAATGATAGCTTTGATCTGTATATAACATGTTCTACAATCATGTACATAAGGTAATTCATTATTTTTCTTGTTTGCTTGCTGTCAAAGGTATATCTACTTTCACTTCCAATAACCATGAAATTATGTTCCTCTCCCATAGGGACTAGCATTAAGGTTGAAGCTATTGAGGATTGCCATTCATTTACAATTTTGTACAAGAATATAATGTACTAAGACATCAATCAAGTACAGCATTTTATTCAACTTATTGAAAACATCCATAAATAATTAAGAACTAATGTGACAATAGCCTCAGTGCGTATCCATATATTCTAATCAGCCAATCATATTCTTGGAATCTGCACACTTAGCTCAATATAGAGAGCGTTGGATTACTAATGCCAGGGGTCACCGGTGCGATCCTAATGGTTGAGGTGTAATTTCTCTGTGACAATAATTGATCTTAGATATTAAGACACATGGTGATTTGTCTCTCATAGCAGATTTAGAAATCATTATATAAGATTAGAAGTAAGTTTCCTGCCTAGAGAAATCGGTAATTTCTGGTTAGTTATCCAAGAAAGCTGATAAAGTGGATCAACCAGTGAGATATGGCCAAAAAAAAGTGTTAAAATTAGCATCAAAATTTAATAAACCAATAAACCTTAAAACCTAGGACGCTCGATTTTGTATTTTTGATGTCAAAATCTCTAAATCTCTAATGGATGTTTCAAGCAAGATAAGTAAAATTAATAACAGACATATAAAACAGCTTTGTTCAGTGTGAAAATGTCTGTCCTGAACGCCTATATCACATGACTTCATGGACATTATAAATATATTTATAGAATAAAATTTATTATCATTGCAAACTGGCTCTAAACAAATATCTTATCAATTATTACTGGCAAGCACTTTCTATATTGCCTCACTGATGTTCTTTTAACACAGACTCTTTTACAATCAACTTTTTCAATTCTGTACAAAGCAGAGCAATTTCATTATACAAGTTTTGGGAAGCTTTTGGTTATCTCAGTTTTAACCAGTAACATTATTACATCATATCTTTGGTATTTTTTATTTAATAAAAACTGAAGCTGTTTGAAAATTTGCAGCATCTTATCGATTTTTACAACAAACTTAATTCTAGGAATTTGATTCTTTTTTCTTTATAATTCTTTGACGGAAAAACTTCTTATTTCAGATATAAAAACTTACTGTTACCATTAGTAACGTTTTTATTTAGAAATAAGATCTTTTATTCAAATATAATTAAAGAACTACTTCCTTGTATTTAGGAGATAATGACATTATATTAAACTATCATAACAATCCCCTATTTTACTATAATGCTCCATTCAACTGAATTACATAATAAAGTCAAACCTCTTAACAAAGGCCACCTAAAGGAGAGTGGTCATTTTAGACAAGAGGTCTTTATTTGGAGTGTTACTCTTAAATCAATGAAAAATTGTTGAAAAATGGTCTGATACTTAGTCAGAGGTGATCTTTAACACAAGTTTGACTGTAGTTTGTTAACAGGTAACATGATTCCGGTTGTGACAAAATAATGTTGAAGATTATTTTGAAAGATATAATTATAATGCCGAAATTATATACCAATAATTGCTATACAGTCTCTTTTAAAATGTAAAATAAAATAAGCATCCTTTGAGTAAACAGAGAAGAAATACGCTTAAAACCCTACACACTACTTAAACATAGTAAGAATACAATCATAGTGTCATTAAAAATCTTTTGAAGAAAGGACCAAAATAACTTGACCAGTAATAGGGAATTCAGCTACTTAAATATAGTTTATGCATTCTGCTTTCTAAACTCATTAATAGACCAATCAAGTAAGAATTTCCAAGCTTTCAATAAATTTCTGCACTTAAAATAATTTTCTTCCTAGTTTGGTTATGATCAATTAAAATAGTATGATTTTGAGATTTCAATTCAGTAAAAGTGAAAGCAATTAACTTTCATTAAGTCATTAAATATACAGTTCACAGCTGACAGAGCTATCCAAAGCAATTTTTACACTGTCTGTACTGTATAACAAGTTATGACCGCCTTTGAAATACATAGGTTAACTAGAAATGTGTCCATAGGACACTGATGCCCCCACACGCCACTGTTCTGTCAATCTTATGACTCTAGGTCAAATATTTTTTGGACTACATGTGCCACAAATTGAAAACTAAAAATCAACAAAGGGCCATAATTCTGTTAAATTTGGTCGCAGCAAAAATTCCTTCCTTTACTACCATCTACACATTAAGGTTGTTAATCCCTGGAAGTTTAAGTAAAATCTGCCATCCGGTTTAAGAGGAGTTGCTTTCACATAATTTCTACATAGTATATAATGAAAAAATCAACAAAGGGCCATAATTCTGTTAAATTTGGTTGCAGCAAAAATTCCTTCCTTTACTGCCATCTACACATTAAGGTTGTTCATCCCTGGAAGTTTAAGCAAAATCTGCCATCTGGTTTAAGAGGAGTTGCATTCACAAAATTTCTACATAGTATATAGTGAAAAAATCAACAAAGAGCCATAATTCTGTTAAATTTGGTCGCAGCGAAAATTCCTTCCTTTACTACCATCTACACAATAAGGTTGTTCATCCCTGGAAGTTTAAGCAAAATCTGCCATCTGGTTTAAGAGGAGTTGCGTTCACAAGATTTCGGGACGTACGGACAGTCGGACGGACGGACAGACGTACGGACACTCGGACGGACAAGTGCAACGCTATATGCTCCCACTCTGTGGGGGCATAAAAAGACATTATGCCCATCCAAGTATAAATGTTTAGTTTATGAGAGTAAAAGTCAAAATATCTTTACAACCTGCCATAATTGTTTTCAATTTTATATTTATCTTTGCATGATTAATCAATAACCCATGTTTCCCATGTGAATTTCAATAAAATGTCCATGGGAATTTATCGGTAATATTCAGTTGATTATTAAAGTCAGGTAGGTAAGTCTTTTTATATGTAATACAGTTTCTATATTTTATCCAATCAATAATCAGTAGTTATCAATAATCAATTATTGGTCAATAATCAATTATTATAGACAACCTTTTGCAGGAATCAAAAAATATTTTCAGAGTCTCATCCTGCAGGACGAATAGCTTCTAAAACCAATGTGCAGTGAAAATTTTTCTACTTGTCCTGCATTAAGTTCTCTTAAATTACTAGTGGACAAGTGGAACTTTTTATCTCTGTTCTGAAATATATAGCTTAACAGGCTTAATTTAACAACTATCCAAAAGGAGCATGTTACTTGTAAGAAATCAACAACATCACATTAAACAGTACAGTGTCCAGTCGCCAATTTTCAGACTGTAACCCGACAACTGCAAAACATGCATGTAATAATTATAGCAATCCAAGTTTTGTTGGGAAAACTAACATAAATCTAGCCAGGGTAGACTTACCTTTTATTGAACTGTCTGATATATTTACAAGGTCATATTTGCAAGCTTCAAAAGGTTTCATCATATTATTTACTTTCCCATTTGGTCCCACATATTTCATTCCTGAAATTACAATTATAAGAAATACTTAATTATCAATAATTTAACATATTTATTTAAGCTCAATAGCAAAAAAAGTTGTTGCAAATTATATCACTTTTGAGTCTGCTTCCTGGGACCAATCAACACTCAAGTGTCCTATGAAGAAACATGGTTCTGACCCAAGAAGGGCTTGAACTCATGATCCCTGGGTTGAGAGGCAGACACCTTAACCACTAGGCCACCACTCCCCTTAATACTAAAATAAAAAGAAGAAAGTATAGAAAATAAGTGACAGGAAATTATCACATAAACAGATTTTAGGCCAGTATTGTGTAATTGAAAGAAAAAAGCGAAAAACAACACCATCAACACCACCAACAACAAAGGGCCATAATTCTTCTAAAACTGATCAAATCACAAAAACTCAAACATATGTGCATATGAACTTTTGCCAACCCCAATCAATTTGCTAACCTGCAAAAACAAGTGTCCAACACAATCGAACTAAAATAAATTTGTATAAACTAATCAAATAACCAGACTTTTTTTTGGAAGTCTGGTTAAGAAATAACTTTTAATTTTTTTTTTAAATCTCAGTCAAAAAGTCCCCCTCCCCCTTGACCTTCACAATTTTTTGCACTATTTCAAAAACTGATACATGTACATAGATGTGATTAACATTTTGTTATCAGTGAGTATTACTAACAGTAAAAACAACTGACACATAGAATACTTTTTCGTATCTGTATTGACAAATGGCCAAAAAATATTGTGAAAACATACACAACACAGGAGAAACCATGTTAATGCATCATTTAAACTACTGACAAATACAGTCAATTATTTGTGCCATCACGGCCTTCAGTTGTTTACAAACAACAGATTTGTCCTACTTTGGGGACGTCTAAACCAGGAAATTAAGTAATTAGTAAACAACAGACAACTTTTTGTTAAACATTTTGTTTAAAAAAAATTTTACAACAAATTAATTTTCTGGAAATGGTTACCTTTAATAGACATTTGAGTTTGTTTCATCAGAGTAAATTTTTTGTTTCAAAATGCCTTCTTTTTCATAGTGAAGTTCTTTGTAACAAGTCAAGTACTTACATACTTAAGAAAAATCTATAGACATTTGGGATTATCATACATAATATTGAAACAAGACTTTATTAAACTTTAATACAGGAGAGTATTCTTACAAGACTTTATAACAAGACTTTTTTAACTTCATCACAGAAGAGTATTCTAACAGGACTTTAAAATTCTAACTTCATCCCAAATGAGTATTCTAACAAGACTTTATTTAACTTCATCCCAAAAGAGTATTCTAACAAGACTTTCTTTAACTTCATCACAAAAGAGTATTCATATCATTATAATGAAGTTTACACTGGCACACTTTTTGTATATTTTAAGCCTTTGGTGTAATGTATTTGTCCAGCTTTGAATTTGGAATTATGATATAAAGCTTAAGGAAATTTTATATCACGGCACATAAATTTAGCTACCAACAGTTATTTAGTCTTTAGACTGCATGGATGTGCCGGCTGGCCCGGTTCTATACTGTTGGTAATTGCCAATCCATTTTGATTCCAGTAGGTAAAGGGTTAAATCCTGAGTACATGTATATTGGACTATAATTATCATAAATTCATCTTTGTATCAGTTTATTCATGTTGTGCAAATCTTCTTAAATTTAATCCTGCCTAAATATTGAACAGAAGTGGAACAGTTTTATTGAAAAAATATTTCAGTCCTGGAAAAAAGATTGACCCTAGTCAAAGTAGATGATAGTGCATATTGAAATGTATGTAATAATAATGTTCCAAGGGAACATAGTTTTTTTTTAGTGATTCAGGTGTCTGCCTCTCAATCCAGAGGTCATGGGTTTGAGCCTACTGTGACCTCTACCAAAACCCTCATCCCAGTGTCACCACATGTAAGATTAACACACCCATTCCTAATAGCAAATCTTTAAATGGAAAATCCCACTCAAACTCAAATTCCCGATATAAAAACTGACAAATTTTCTGGAATTCATTCCGGAGTGAGGTATCAGACAGATCTTTCCACACATTTCGTTGTCAAATTTGTGGTCAGTTCCAGGAAGTGCACCTTAGAATGGTTCAAAAAACTTTTATTATAAGCATCAAGCTTTTATCACAATCAAAGATTAGGAAGAAAAGTTCACTAGAAATTAAGATATCTTAAGGTTTGTTTGTTTGTTTCATTTTACACCTTTTCCCAACAGTATTTCAGTCATATAAGGGTGTAGTTTCATTACCATCGTTCCTGGAGAGTTACACCAGTACTAGACTACCTTCCTCCGCGCTAAACTACCAAAGCATCTCCCGGGGATCGAACCCACGCCAGAGAGGTAACTGGATTAGAAGTCATCGACTAACCCCTCGACCACGGAGGCGGTATAATATCTTAAGGGGAAATATGGTATTCTATTACATGCTTAAATGAATTACACTTTTTTTAAGTACTTGTGAAACAGAAAAAACACTTTAAATTTTCTAATAATCACAGAATGAATATTTACAATGTAAATATAGAGACGACCTTGTGGACAGGACACTTAAATCCTTCTTAATTCTTTAAAAGTAAAGCACTCTAGCCCTACTGATATTGTGTCTTAAGCCCAAACATTGGACAATAAAAGAAGAGTAATCCTCTTGTGGTTTCACAAAACCTTGGCAGATTAGGGACTTATAATCCTGAGCTTGAAATGTGACAAATAGTTATGTGGAGTATAGGTTATTTAGGTGAAAATTCATTTTTCACATCACCTAATTAAGTGAATTTGTACACAACAGAAAAATTTCTTTCAAAATTAATATGACTAATATATTCATAAAACCTAAGACCTAAGTGCTTGGCATGAAGTATAACTTTGGATATTATCAAATATTTTATGTACATCTGATACCAAAAAGGCACAGGAAAAAAAAGTTGTATAAAGAAACATGTTTGGTATACATGTACATCAGTAAAAACTGATGTGGGTGTTCACTGTAGATAACTTATGCTGACGTACAAGTGTGATATACATTTGAGCTGTGTCATGACAAAACTATTTGTGCGTTTGCGACCAGCATGGATCCAGACCAGCCTGCACATCTGCGCAGTCTGATCAGGATCCATGCTGTTCGCTATCAGTTTCTCTACTTGTAATAGAGTTGGTAAACGTACAGCATGGATACTGATCAGACTGCGCGGATGCGCAGGCTGGTCTGGATCCATGCTGGTCGCAAACAAACTATGTTGGTTTTGTCGTGACACGGCTCAATTAGAGTACTTTCAACATTCCATTATCAATAACATATATAGTATTTCTCTTTAACCTATGGTAACTATCGAAGTCCAAACATTGTCAAATTACTTATAGTTCTTATCTCTAATCTATAGAGAAATAGCTGTGTTGAATTGAGCTTATTACCATTATGATAGTCTTGACAAACTCTTCCAGTTTTAGATTTTACTTATATAATAAATATCAATTTCCTTTTCATTAGGTCTATTGTTTAATTTGTAGGGCTGGTCTGCCCTTGTATGAGGGGCCTGAGTGTGGGTGGGGGTGTCCCTGGTTTTACAACTGTCAGACAAGTACATAACACTGTGACCCCCAGCATAACCCTAAGTTTCTTGTAACCCTGACATACTGCTAAAATTGTGTTACTAAATTTGGGTAACACTGGCTTGCCCTGTATTGAACTTAAAACCTGTGTTAAATTAATTTACAACGATTTTAATATCAAAAGAATAAACTCGAGCAAATAAATATAATCAGGTCAGACTGTCCTAATGTATGCATGCATGCTGAACTGGCATGATATTGTGATTAAATCGCATTTAAAATTATAATTACTGTAACAACCTAGATACCGTGACTTTAACTACAGTTATTCAAAACCAATAGATCATGACCATTCTGCAGCGGATGTTTTCAAATTTGCAAATTAAATAACATAACAGTGAACGTTTAAAATTAGCAGATTGACACTTTAAATACAGAAAAAAACCTTAACAAAGGATATCTGTGCAATCTAATTCAATATTATTTAAAACTAAAATGAAATTTATAATATCATGCTTAATTACATGTATACCAGTCATAATTACAAACTGTGTAAGATAAAAGTCAGTTCTTATCTAAAAGCAATCAACATTGACATAGCTTATAGATACATATAGGTTCATTTCATCTTAACACAAAAGCATGTCTATCGAACACATTATCTTTATTCAAACATATTACATCGTACCTTAGGTTAACAACTTTTACATGTATATTACAAAGGGGAGCAACCTATTGATGCTTGCCTCTTAATTAAACTAGAGAACTTTGGATCAAGCGGACATTAAAACATTTAATCATAGCTCAGTCTTTAGAAATTGTAAAGATCTTGATGTCAAACCCACTTTACTGTCAAACCCGTCTGTGAAGACCAGCCAAGGTATTCAGTAAAAGAAGAATTTATTTTTATGATATCAAGTCTAAAGCAGAACTATTATCTTGAGCTTCAGGACATTTTCCCCCTTGTCTAGCACAGAACATACCATCTAAAGACAGCTTCCTGCCAGGAAAATTCTTTAAAATCATGCAGTATTGCCCAAATTGAAATTAGTAACCAAGTTTGCTTAAGGTGACAACAGACACTTTCCGTGGTACTCACATAAATGTCATTTAAACCAACTTATTTTAGTAATAATTATTATTTATTTAATCTTTGTGCATTAAATGTCGTTGATCATCATAAAAAATAACATATTTGAAAAAAATGCCTTTGTAAATTATTGATTTTTAATAAAAATCCTAAAATTTTAAATCGTCATATCAAAGTCATTTTTTATTTTTTTGTCATCAAACCTTTGGAAAATAAACATACTTATAATATCTGGGGAACCGTGTCTCAAATTTTTTCTATCTTTTCTCAAAAAAATATTACGTAACGTCAAACATTTTATACGACTTTTTTCACCATACATATTACGTAATTAAAGATAATTAAGTCGCTGATTGAGCAAACAAAAATCCCTGACACGGTTCCCTCCGTAAATAAATTCCCTTTCATGTGCTTTAAACCGCATGTTAATTGCTTGATTATTAAAAACGTTATGCCGATTCAAAGTTAGTCCGACCCGCATCAAACGAAGTGTCATAAATCGGCTGTTCTCTCTCGGACCCCTACGTTTCACGCTAAATAATTGCATAATACACAAATATCGTACCAGAGAGGGTCACAAGTTGCGGTAACATACTCTAACAACATTTTATGACCCAGTGTCATCTGACCAATCAAAAATTTGCTGATTAATATCAGGTTATAACAGAAATTTCTTCAAATCTTAACGTGATTTACTTTTCGTCTGGTATCGGTCTCACATGTCACGTGACTTTCGGTAAAATTTGAGGCACTCGGTGGGGGGAAAATGGAACGTATTTGCACACCGTTAGCGGGGTATTTAATTGTTTCACGTTTGAAGATTATTATTATTATTATCATCAGCATTATTATTATATTATACCAGTGTCACTCTGTCTGTGTATTCGTGTATGAATTTCCGTTAAAATATAAATTAAAATAACAAAAAACTTAGCTTCTGACGGTCTTTTAAAGTCCATGATAGCTGTACAAATTAGAACGGGATATTGTATATTATTTCCTCCAAATTGATATAAATGCTTGACATATTTTAATAGAAATAAAAGGTATCACTCGATAATTATGATCTGATCTTCTTGACATCTATTATCATGAAAATCATTTACGCACGGCATAGAGATCCAGTTTCTACTTGGGTATACAATAATTCCATACTTTGTCCCAGGTTTATTAGTACTGTGTTCGATTTACTGGCGAACAATTCATTCAAAGCATACACTGATAATATATATCAATATTTTTTTTATTGATTCATAGAGAAATAATCATCCTTAAACAATCTAAAATGGTTTAGAAATTTGTCAGGGACACCGTACCGCCAGTCATATAGGCGTTCACATAAAAAAGTTGTCTGTTGTTTTACTTGACATTGTTAGAAAACGAGGTTGAATGTAAAGCAAGCCATTGAATCCGTTCAAAAGTCCATAAACTCAATGTAATATCTATCAGATTAACGGGACAGACAAATTATTTTCACACATTATGGATATTTTAGCAACCATATTTTTAAACAACCCCGTGGTCGTGCGATGTTCCGCTATGCTTAATTGTTTATGTTTTATACATTATGTTACGTACATTGGCCGACAATTTCTTATTTTATAAAAAATGCTAAATAAAAGGTAGACGATATTCATAAAAGATGTACGGTATTTGTACGATACATGAATTACGAGTAGTATGGACCAGTATGGACCGGTAATTCACGGATATATGGAACTACCGATTTCCCTCATTGATGCCTCAACAGGGGGCGGAGCGTTATCGATAATTGACAGGTTACGCGAATAGCAGATAAAAATGGTACAGGTACCGCTTAAAAACGTTTAAAAACACATTTTTGGACTAACTGCTTCCAAAATTAAATCATGAATGTGTTCAGAAATGGTTGATAAATCTACTAAGCAAAAAATCTCATTTTAGGTTTTTTCAGTGATAATTGACTCCGTTGTCACCTTAAACATTTATGAAGTTTGCTTTAATATTTATGGAAGCCTCAAAACATAAAAATTAATGTAGAAACTATCAGATAGTTCATCAAATCTTATTACGTTACATAGTGGGGAAAAAAACAACATAATTAATCATGTTTTATTTATTTGTGTTTATCTGACATCAGGGATGGACCTCAGTATCACTGTATTTGATTACAGTTATACTTGTGTCACTTAATGATGTGTGTCTAGAATGTACTTGCAGGCACTTTTTTGACGAGATCATTGCGACCTAAGAGCTGTTATAAATACTTCACTTGAGAAATAATGTCTTAAAAACAGTTCATACTGTAAACTACTGATCTAATATACATCAATTCTAATAGTAATATAATAATATTGATCTATTTTTTATTGCTTGTTATTGTTTTGGTTGATTTGCTCAAGTTACAATAACTTTTGTTATTTTTTTAAATATCATAGGATGACATTCCAGCTTCATTGATGCAGAAATGGTAGAACCTGGACCTTCAAATGAGCTAACAAGATACTTTCCAACCATGAAAAATTTCAACACCCTTCAAGCCATTGGATTAATGATTTATGTCTTACGTTGCTGTTTGTATAGATATATCCATCCTGAGGGAAAATTCTCGGCATGGGTAAATCTAACGGAAACACCAGTCTAATAGGCAAGAAAAAATTGGGCAAAGGGAACTGGGCAAAGGGGTAATGTGATTTATCATTGGAGGCCAGTGATCTTTGCCACTCAAATACAAACTTGGTATTATTAACAAGGAATACTTTAAGCTTACCTATAAAAAGTTTAGCGTCTACTTTAGGGTATCTCTCTATAAGTTTCTGTACAATCATAATGGCAGGATCTTGTTCATCGTGCACCGAAAATAACAATTCATACTGAAAATACAATCAACAATGAACAAATTAGATTAGATTAGATACATTTTTTAGAATGACATGTTTGTAAAGATAATGCAAAAAAAAATTATTCTTGAAATTCAAGTTTTTAGTGGTTTTAGTTTATAAATGGTGACCCGGTCACCTGGTGACCAGCCACCTACATGTATCTCTCAACCTCTTTACATGTACTTGAAACACGATATTTATGGGAAACAACAAACTTGTTTAAGTTTAGTGCAACCTCGGCATAAATTTAACAACCACTTTATATAACAACAGCAACAATTTTTCCCATAAGTTTACATAAATTTATACAACACCCAAAATCTTTGTCTCCAAATTATATTGTAATTGCTTTGCAATGGCTTAACTGTATTAGAAAACAATCAATATGGTTTTTAAATGAGTCTAAGTATTTACAAATTATGCTAGACATATTTGTGGCAATATATGGTTAATATTGTAAAATGATCACATTCATCAACTGGCCATCAACATGTACAGTAAACTTTATTAATTACATAATATTATCTGATTGTCATGTTAAAAGACCTTTCTCCATAATCACTTTTATTCATATTTTATCAATGAGCCAATTGGTCATTGACCAAACTGTTTTGTTTATAATGACTTCATTAATGAGTCATCCACGATAGATAAAGTATCAGTTTGATGGGCTGATGTTATATCAAAATTTTAAAACCAACGTAAAAACCATAGTTCAAGGGGGCTATCTTTACGTAGCAAGTCAATAATCCTGTTGACTGACTACGCTAAAGTATCACTTGTCATACATCGTTAAAATAAAAATAGCACAAATACTTCATGTTCTAACAACTTAACACTTTTATCATATTTATTCAAACGATCCTCGGCAAACTTTTGTTTCTTTTAAGTCTTAATCAAAGATATTCTGTCTCAGACATTAAAGCTACACTCTCCAAAAGTTAATAGTAAATGTTTTAGTCCTGTCCAAAATTATGATTTAAGTTGTAACATTCGGGTTTTCTTTTAAAAAAAATGAAAATATCCAGCTTCTATTTTTTGGACAGTCCATTATCAATTTTAGGGATATTAAATGAAAAGCCAACAGTATTATAGCCTGGTCAGATCAAAAAGAAGGCAAAGTCTTAACAAATACTTTCAGTTCCAGGCAAAAAAGGGTAATGACATTTGTGTGTTAACAGTCTTGAAATACTTTGGTTACTTTACTTAGTGCAATAATCATATAGACAAAGTCATTTGTCAATTGAAGGGCGGGGAGGAAATCTGCTATGTATTTATATATAAACATTTTAAAATAGGTGCCTTATCAAATATTAAACATGTTCTTTACATGTATTCCTGATAAAAATAGGTATTACATTTTAACATGGATTTTTATCTTGAATGTTTAAATTAAAGTGTAAAAAATATGTAGACAATAATTATTAATGAATATGTATTTGTGTAGGTACAATAACTTTTCTAAAAAAAAAAATTTTAATATACAATTGTTCTATCAACCATGACATAATTTATATTAAACTTAAAACTTTTTAACTTATGAATTTGCTGAATTTGTGAAATCAATAAATCTTGCTCTGAATTTGGAACAGTTATTCAGTCAAAGTTTAATAATGGATTTGAACCCCAAAAAAACAAAACTTGCATACCAATGCAACATGCAGTACCTGGTCAGACTGCATCGATAAGCTGGCCAGCTTGAGTTCTATACTGGTGGCAATAAGACCAAACACTATAGTGTTCGTAGCCCATTTTTTCATTTAATAAATTTATAATAATAAAATCCTTTAAAATCTAAATTGACTGTTTTAAAATATTTAAGACAAATCTATTACACAAATTGAGCAGGATAAGGGTTTGGATATGCACAATCAAATCAGTTTTAAACCATTATTTACATGTATCTTCCGGACCCTTCAAATTTCCTACAAATCATACATCAATACTCAGTACCAGTACTTGTAATAACTAATAACCAAAAGTTTTCATTTAGAATATCTACTCCCTTTCAAAGTTCTAACATTTGAGCCGCGTCATGACAAAACCAACATAATGGGTTTGCGACCAGCATGGATTCAGACCAGCCTGCGCATCCGCGCAGTCTGATCAGGATCCACGCTGTTCGCTTAAAACCCTATAACAAGTAGTGAAACGATAGCGAACAGCATGGATCCTGATCAGACTGCGCGGATGCGCAGGCTGGTCTGGATCCATGCTGGTCGCAAACCCATTATGTTGGTTTTGTCATGACGCGGCTCATTTAAACATGTACATGTTTGTATCAAAGGCTTTTAGGGCTTTAAGGTAAACACAGAATAAACAGGTACTTGTTTAGTCGCTAATCCTTTTGAAGTTAAATCGAGCACACAATGGCCGATTTAAACAGATTAATTCTTAATATTGAAAATATTTACAATCTATTTTATTGCGAATTTATACAAAATCATTCATACAAAATTATTCGTACAAAATTATAAATACTCTAATATTATTTTAAGTATGTTGGTGATTGTTACACTGGTCTATTAGTAACACTAATATTAATTGGCTGTTTATTTGCAATATTACCATTTATTTCACATAGATTTAATGTAGATCGGTTTTTCTTAAGCATTACTCTGGTTTTTCTTCATATTCTTAAATAAGAAAATACAAGAACACACACTGACATGTTTTAAATGAAATGAGGTCTCTACATAGAAGCCTGAATGTCAAACACTTATTCAAAACTATTCAATTTCATACCATCAAACTTGTTGCAAAGGACTTTTTAAAAATTTAGAATTAAGATGCTTTTTCGATTATAAAAATCATGATTTTTATGTATTTAACTATGCTCAATAAATTGCCTATTTGTTAATTAATATTAATATGAATAAATATGGTTGTTTCTATAAACAAAAAAACACAATAAAAGCTTTAATCTCACTAACATGAGGAACATGACTGTATCTCTTTTAACACTTTGAGCTGCTTTAAAAACTTTTGAACAGTTCTTGCAAAGTTTATGGGATTTCAACATATTAAAATACAAAAATTGAACTATCAACAGTATAGATCCTGGTCAGACTGTACAGACTGGCCTAGCTCTAATGTTTACACTGGTGAAAAAGGCTTATCAGTTATGGTAACAGCAAGGTATGGTTTAAACACTGACTTGACTGAATAATATCAGAAACTCAAGCTGTACAGTGATAACACCATGTACAAATGTACATATATTGTACATGACTATTTTTATCTTGTTCGACTCTTCCTTATTGGACAATATACCAATTTATATATGACTCATTTCACACTAAACACCTACATGTATTTCTAAATCCCCCCTCCTCAAAACAATACATAGCAAAACTTCCTAAATTATAATCAAAATTTATGTTTTGTAGATAGTGATGTTTTTTACCAACAATGCAATACAAGTCAATAACTGCTCAAACATTTCATTTATGACAAATGAAGTACAATGTTTGACACATTACCACCTATCAAAGTGCACATTTACATGTTTTCCTAATGTTTATCATATTTTATGACCAATGTACTTTCAATTATGCTGTCAGACTGAGTCTATAAAGGTGTCTTCATATTTTTCAGCTGTCTGATAATTAAGGGCTGACACTTTCATATAAGCCATTGATATATGTATTTACAACCATTTTCATTTGTATCAATATATTGCGATAGCTTAGTACTACTAATAATCAGGGCCTGCAAAATCTGATTTAAACTTATTAGTCAGTTTTAAACTAAAGCATTTTTTCTTTATAATTTGTCTGTATGATATTTATAAAGTAAATTTTTGAAAATGTCCACTTGTCCATACAGGCTGTGGAACAACCTTGGCAATACAGACAATTGATTTTGCCACCGCTGCGGTAATTGTGTAGATTGGACCTAAAATTCAGAAACCATCACTTCATTACAATCTATGTGACTATGCTAATAAGTAAAACATTTTTCTTTTATCTTTCTTATGAACATGACAAGCTTTCAAATTTAATTCTTCAACTTGTAGATAAAGATCAGCTGGTTTCATATTTTGAAATATTTCCCTATAAAAATAATGAAAAGTTTTGTCCAGATTAAAAGATGGACAAGTCCATTTAAGAATTAGATACATGTACATTATTTAGCTTAGTAAGTGTTAACTTTTACCTAATTTTGATTTATTCTATGCCACAAAAAATATGTTTTTCATTACTTTATTAAACAAGTTGAATAAATTAAATATAATTAACATTATAGTCAAGGACTCTCAACACTCAGTTAACATGTTAACAAGACATATGAATAATGATGATTTATCTTTAAACAGTTTTTCTCAAAGTGACTGTTGCTTTTTTCTTCTTTATTAACCTAATTTTACCAGAAAGGGTCAAACCCTTAGCGTGATAAAAGTGGTTAAAAAACTACATTAATAACATTCTTATTTTTAGAAAAACATTGTTTCAAAACTTACACTTATATTAAGATACACATGTTCTGGACTATATCTTTCTAGGACTATTTGTTTCTAGCTAAAACTGAAGCCAATAAAGGGCATTTCCCCTAATTAAAAGCATACAGTTTTACCCAAAGACTCCATTTCTTTTCCTTTTGAAAAATTATTTACACACAAGTTATTTTTACCAAAATTTAAGAGGCCTCTTTTGAACTCCCCCTTCCTGTGAAATAAACAACCCTTATGTTATTTATTTAATCGGTTTTACACTTTACAATAAAAGCTGTAATTTCATCCCTTTTCTTCCATTCAATACCCAACAATTAGAGAAATATGGGAACCTCAATAAAGCGGATATGGTATTGATAGTGTATTTATCTTTAAAACATCCTTCTTTATTTTCATGATTTGTATCTGAGGCTTCCACTTAAATTGAAGCAATTTTCATATCTGATTAACATGAAACCATCACCACCAAATTTATCTTCCTTATTGGCACTATAATTGTAACTAACATGCACTTAATGACTTAATATCCCAAACTGAAGAATGTAAAATGTGCAAAAGCTTTGTTATTAATAATCATCAAGAAGTTTGAAATCATGAAAAGACCTTAATTTACAGCAACTATCACCTGACATAACCGGTCCCTATACAGGTCAGGATTATTGTCGACGATTCCAAATACAAAATACTGTGACAGCCTTTTTTAAATAGGGAAATGATTAAGTCAGAAATTTATTTCATTGCAATCATAAATGTGCCAAAAGTATAGTTTACACATATATTAAATGATAAGATTGGCCTTAAAAACTCGGCTTTATCCAATACAATAATCTTAACCCATTGCTTCATGAGCATTTTGTGAAAAATGGCTGTTTTCATTGAAAAGTCTCCCGTTACAAGTTCAAATTGCTATAATACTATTAAAACTGCTTCAACACTAATCAAACTTGGCACAAATGTTGACTGGACCATTGCCCTTGCAACAACATGCTCAGGCTTAAATTTTCTGTTACCATGGCAACGAGGGGACATCTCAAAATTGCCAAAAATCACTATTTTGCGTTGATTTTTTCCATCAAAATTGATTTCAAAGTGCTGCAACTTCTCAATGGATTGAGATAGAGTCAAATGCTTTTCAGTGTTGGTTACACGTTACCTTATGATCAATCTGGGGTCATTTACAGCCTCTCACAAGTCCAAAATTTTCTTGGCGATGAGGGGGACTCCGCCCCCCTTCAAACCCCCCAAACAGAAGGGGGCACATCCCCCTTCTGGCAACCCCCTGATGTATCTTTTGGTTGGGGGGCCGCGCCGAAAAAGAGGTCACTTTTTTTAACAACATTTCTCAAACAAAAACAAGTGTTTGGGGCCTAAATAAGGCATTTTTTCATCATTTGAGACAACAAAAAGGGGGGGGGTGAAAAAGGCGTTAAAAGGCGTGTATATGAAGTAATGGGTTAAAGACCAAGAATTGACAAAGATGACCTAACAAGTCAACATCCCTAGTTCATTAAAGCCAAATAATTGATAGATTCAAGACCCAAAATAACGACTGTTTGCACATATTCGAGATAAATATTGTTAAATACAGAATTAAGACTTAACATATTTATGACTATAATATTGTAATGTTATGACAATGAAATTTTTGTAAAGATCAACAAGTTGGAATTTTCCTTTTATCAATAAATACTATGTTATTGAAGACTTTTAAAAAAATTATTTATACAAGTTACAACAGAACTTCTGAATCGTAAGATGTGATCTTCTTTTATCATGTGCAACTTGTGCAAGTAAGACTTAAAATTCCCCATTTAATGATTTTTTGTCATTTTAATAGATAACCTTTATTTCAACCCCTATACAGTTGTAACAGATACAGAAAAATGTGGCAGTGACGGGGTGACCTTGTTAAACACTAAAGAAAGTTTTTAATCGAAACTATGTTTAATAAATTGTTTTAATATCAATGGAAAAACACTGGAATATAAACCGTGCACAATAAGCTTAGGAATACATATTGCAAATTAATACATTGATAAGCCTCGCTTACTCTCTATATGACCTCGTATCTCAACGAATTAGACCGATAAATATTTCACTTTATCTCAATTTGTATCAATCATGAATATTAACAAGTTTAAACAGGACTTCAAGGAGAAATGTTCATCCTGTTGAGTGCACAAAAAAAACCCATCTACACTGTAATTATCAACCAGGAAAGATGTGTTAAAATTTCATTGAAAATGTATGAAATACAGTACTCCACTACTTACCGCTGGATATTTGATATTGAAGAAAGTTTCTAAATTATAATAAAGATTAGAGTCAACTCCAACAAGGGGTTTGATGATGGAAACACCCTGGAGGTCTTCCGGGGAAATTTGTGGAGATGGCTTGTGGAGTTTCCGTATTCTGAAATACACAAAAATATAACACATGATGATGATTACATGATTATAATGTACATGTTTATTTAGGTCCTATGTTAGTCTGCAATATAATTTCAGTCACATACAGCAGACAGCTAAGTTTAAGTATCAAGAATTCCTAGAATATTTGGGTAACTTGTTAAAGTACTATAGAAATCACCAACTTCTCAAAAAGAAATCAACTGAGCTAGTATTAACTATGCTCTGTTTATTTTTTCTTCTTCTGTTTTTATGCCAATCACATTAACATTTTGCTCATATCTTGGGGGTTGATCTAGCTTATATGTGCTCTTGGATAACTAAAATTTACAAAACCTTTTTCTTGAATTTCTCGACAAGTAACCAACTACTATTCCCACACTGTATCAGCAGTGAGAAACAAATGACCATTACATGTAGATTCCATGTTCAAGATCAAATGTTAAGGAGCAATTTGCACTTGTCAGATGACCAGTAACGTCTAGATTACTAAATCTAAAGCTCTCTCTGTTGAGTTAAGAGCAGGAGAACTTAATTGTGTATATGGTGTTGACCTTTAACATTGACAAAACAAGAGCACTTGCAGCACTCAGTAAAGACTACAAAAAATAACTAATCCTTATAGTAAGCAGACCATATAATGTATCAGTAATGATCACCTTAGAGAGGTAACTGTGAGGAAATTAGTTTTTATAGTAAACATAATATAATAAAATTAGTTCAATGTACAAACATTTTTTAGACCATTTTTACCACTCTATCTTAATATGATAAATGGTTGACAGATTTAATTATACATTGATAATACATACCGGTAATACCTTATGTCAACATGGCAATCAATGCAGTCAATTATAAACGTTCCAATTCAAAGCTTGCATTTAAATTGTAATGGTGTGTGTGTGTGTGTAACAAACATTAAATAAACTTAATATAAACGATTTCTTTGACTACAAATGTATTTAAAAAGTACTACACTAATATATTCGAAGATTATAGTTAAATTATACGAGAAACTATAGTCTATAATATATACCAGTACAAGTATATAACGATATTTTGTATAAAATACTGAGAAGAGGTCATCATTGAAGTTGACAAAATAACTACAAGAAGTGTCTAATTCACACCTAATTGGGTAAAGGATTTCTTATACTTGTGCGCAATGTATGTTGCTTTTTCTGTGCATTTATAAATAGATCAGTATGTCATTTTTAAGAAGAAAGTTAATACACCTTTTCCCTGCAATTACTTTCGCATGAGAGCACATTTAAAGCCTGGGCTTTTTCGACAAGAGATCAAAATTTTATTTAAGCCTGAGAGCTTCTGCAGATGTTAATGCATGCAAAAAAGCTTATATATTAATATTATCACTAGTATAACATACAATGTACACATATAATATGATTTGGTAATTTTGCATTAGGTCATTAGATATTCTCACATAGCAACCAGCTTTGAAATGTTTTTTTTAAATTACCAGTATTTTAATTAGGTCATGCTGCATTAAGCAATTTTTCAACATGGCACCCTGAATCACTGAAACTTTATAAGTTGATAACAGCTGTCAGTAAGACAGCATGCTTGACCATTCTCTGAACAATTCTGTTAAAATCTATGTTAGCTTGAGAGTTATGGGCCTTGGGAGATAACATCATATCATGCTCTCCAAGAAATGTGTGTAGTTTCAACCAATTCCCTTAAATACTTTTATAGATATCAATTTTAACACAATTTAATGTGTGACAGCAATGCCAATGCCCGGGTGAGTACAATAGGTCTCCCTATCCTTTGAACAGTCTAGCAATGTGTGCAATGATTGAACATGTAAGCCCTCATGATTTTATCTGTTAATTTAATTTTCTCTCATTGCACAACATTTTTGCCGACATACAAATGCCAGACAGATGCAAACATATCCTCATTCCCCGCTATAAAAAAATCCACTCAGCTCAATCCCACTGTTATCTTTTGCACTACCCATGGTGAGAAATACTGTCGATGCTAATAAAGATTGACAGTGCATAAAACTAGTGGCAGTAAATGACATAAAATAGTTTGGTTTAATCACCAACAACATAAAAGTAAGATTTAAACTTAATCCTTTCATGCCAAAATTAAAATATCATAGATGCTTCTAAGGAGGAATTGATGAATGACACCTTTACAATTGTACACACAATACTTACTCAAACTCTATTATTAGTATACTATTTTATTATTTGATTTATCTATCTCTGAGTAGGGACAACCCCTTAGCCAGTGTTATAATTTTAAGGTAACACTATTTATAAATACATAACAAAAAATTGATACATATTGCGGGGAAGTCAAAGACCGGGCCCGCGAAGCGGGTCCGGGCTTTGGCTTGCCCGGCTATAGACTACATGTGTATATTTAAAACAAAATCAAATAAAAAACAATTAAAAAATATATAGAATTCTATACCTATCAAAGAAATTTTCAGTGTGACTGTCAGTTCTAGTCAGGCGTCGCCATTTACAATGTTACTCAATGATAATAGGCGGGGTATTCCGATAACGGAACAAATCTCAACTTTTCGGATTAATAATAATTGTCGAGTGTTCCGAGTGAAAACGGAAGCGGTGCATGTAATACCGAATGACACCTTTACAACGGAAAGAATGAAAGGATTTTTTAACGACTTCCCCGTTCATAGGCTTTGCCTAATTTCATATTACAATGATACACTTAATTGTACAATTACAGTTGAAGACATGTAAATTGCCAGTTCATTTGTTGATCTATATACATGACAACTCATACCTGATGACAGTCTTCAACTTAATTTTTTATCAGCACTAGCCCAGTCGGGCTAGCAGCTTACAAATTTCACTAGCCCGAACACATTTTAACTAGCCCGAACCAAAATGGTATTTTTTGTACAAAAATAACACTTTCTATATGTTTTATATACCATTTAACATTATTAAAATATCAACTAATCAACTTTTCTTCCTTTCATTATTTAAATAAGAAGAGTTTAAACTACATATATGAAAAGAAGATATTTTGATATTTCCGTGGCATTGTCTACAGACACTGAAAAAAATTGTTTAAAAACTGAAACTACTCTTCTCCTCGTTTACTGTAACCATGTCGGCTGATACATGCATTGACAACATATTTATATTCTTTTTCGTATTACTTTTACTTTTTTTGGTGTGTTCCCTTTTGGCTTAGTGCCTTCAAAATACAAGAGAAAAGACATATTGTGAAGCATGAGATGACGCCTATTAAATACATGTCTAACAATCAATAATATTTCATAAGCGTTTTAAGTTCAATAAAGCTGCAAATAATTTTTAGGGCCAAGGTGGTTTACCCATCAAAATCTAGAGTAAAATGAAAATTCTGGGGTAAAATTTATAAAAAGAATTTGCATTGTTTTGTTATCAAATTTCATTGCCTTCTAAAAAGTTCCTTTCTTTACATAAATCAGACTGACTTATATAATAAAATATTGATTCAATGTGAAACAATACAAAACTTGCTCTGTTAAGGCAGGCTTCCCTAGACAAGGGTTTGTTTAGGTTACTCAGCAAATTTATGACAAGACTCATTTTTTTTGCTGACATGTTGTTGTTTGAATGAGTCACATTCTTTTACAATCAGCTACATGGTCAGCATGAGGCTTTATTCATACTCTATTTCTACAGAGTGAGACTACATTTTAGTGCCGTTCTTTGGTTTTGAATATTTATAATTGAAATTAGAATTAAATTAAAACTTTTATACACAAAGAATTAGTCTTTGAGGAAATTGTCCGTAACTGTAACCTTGGTACGAAAATATTGAGTACAAAACTGCAGATGGGAAGGGAGAAATATGTTTTCCAATAACTAAAGTGGCAAGTACGACATTTTTCTTTATTTTGTAGCAAAAACATTATAATATATGTCTAAACAAATTGAATATTAGGTTCAGTCCTACGATGATAACACCAAATTTAACTTTATCAATAATTTCATTTCAGAAACTCCCAAGAGTTACCTTCCCTTTTTACTCGATGTCACTTCCTGCTACTTTCGTTTTCAACTTACAGCAGTGTTGACAATAGTACTTTTAGTTTCCCATCCAATTCAGCAGAAATACATTGTATTTTCATAAAGCCAAAACATTGCTATATGTAGTCCTAATTATAAGACCTATACGTAACCTATTTCATATTTATCATTCATTAATCTGATATTTTACATTTTTCATTTTCCATGTTACGTTAGGTCTTAACAGATCTTTGCAAAATCGTGTAGCAAAAAAATTGACATTAGACATCGATTTAGATCTAATGCATTTTAACAATTAAAACAGCGTGTATTTACATAAATTTTGAACTATTTATGAACAAAACTAAAAATTAAATACCGTTCAACAAAATAATTGAACTGTCACACCCGAAAAGTCATGATTAAATCCTCTCATTTAATTAAACTCCATGTACAGCAGATATACAAATGGCCGCCATACAGTGCGCGAAATCTGATTGGCTAATTCAAATGCAAGCGTTTAAATGACTCCAGAAGTTTCTAACGGAATATTTTTTCAACGAATTAATTGCCCATGCACCGTCAGTGTGTTCGAAAATATTTTTCCGTTCAAAAAATTGGAATCAATCTGTAAAACGCTTTCCTTAACCAGTATGGCCGATGAGCGAAATAGATTGATATTTATATTTTATTTTTAATTAATAAGTACATTGTTGGAAACTTTTTGTTACTGATAGACCATGCAATTGAAAGAACAGAAGATAAGCTTTTGAATAAAGCTTGAAAGGCAAGTCAATAGACATTTTTTTAATTTTTCAAAATGCTACGCGTTTTTGACCAATAACTATTAGACGTCAGGCTTGACCAACATAAAACTATAACAAGCCTGTAACGTCTAATCTATTGGACTATGCTATATGGAGCTATGCATATTTCCAACATTTTCTTAATTTGGATATGAAAAAAGCCCTCGACCAGACGGGCTACCAGCTTGAAATTTTCACTCGACCACCCGCAAATTTACTCGACTCGGTCGTCGGTCGAGTGGGTTAAGTCGAAGACTGTGATGAACAAATGATAATGGAATGTGAACATGAAATGTCAAAAATTTTGATTATTGATAAATCTGTCATAACCTTTATTGATATACAGATCAATAATTACAAATATATTTATGCAATTCGGTATACTTTTCACCATTCAAGAAGATTCAATGTCTAAAGTATGTTTAATTTTTATTTCTTTATAAATACGAGATACAAACACATTGACATGTACCCCGCCCACATTTTAACAAGAGTCTTATTTTTTCGCCGGGAATTTTACAGTTCTCTTTCGGACATTCAAAAATATGTCAATGAAAAACTCACCCATAAATTAAAGCTACAGTGTGTATAAACCATGTCAGTAACCATCCTCCAAGTGCTGCAATTGAGATTGATAATAATATAATTTCCACTACTGACATATCTTCATGACGAAAATGCTAATGGCTACTAATTCGTCCAACATAAATATTTAACATTGCGCATGCGCGAAAAATCTCCAATGTCGCGAACTGATGCAAAATAATGCGAAATGCAGTAAATGATGCGAAATCAATAATGTGTAGGCGTACTATAGTTACAGTACTGTAAAGAACTATACTAGTTTTACCCATTTTATTATTTTATTTTTTTTTTATTTTATTTATACATTTAGAAACATGGCACATGATACAATAATAAAATCATACAGTTAAGAAAAAACATATAACTCTCTATATATAAAATGAGATCATAAAATAGCATAAAAGAGCACACTTTTATCATAAAAAAATAATTAGATGTACTATGCACGGCACCTATGGATAGCCCATTAAGCTAAAAACTTATTTCCAATGGTGTCCATAGAACTAAAAAAAAAAAAAAAAAAAACTAACATAATTTTAACCCTTTCCCCCCTAAAAAACAAACAAGATAAAAAAAATAAAAATATAAACTAACTAACTTTGGTCAAAATTTAGGTTGAAAAAGGAAATATATTTATAAAAGTATGCCCTTTTTAAAATAAGCCTAGTATTACTATCACAGAAATATTTGATCACAATGCCTAACACATTAGTTGTACACATATATATCTTCTGAAAGACTTTTATAGCTTTCTAGTAGGTACTTTTTAACAGATTTTTTGTATTGCACAAAATTATTAATGGATTTTATATATTCTGGCAGATCATTCCAGTCTTTAATTCCATTATAATAAAAGGTCTGTTTCATCACAGAATTACACTGGGGACAATAAAATTAAAATTGCTTGATCTAGTATTGTAAAATCTTGCATCAGCACAACATCTAAAGTCGGCTCTAAGGTATGATGGACTCTTTTTGTAAAAAATCTTATACATATGATTTAGTCTTAACTGTTTGACTCTGTTTTCTACATTTAACCAATTTAATTTTTCAAACTCATACACTGTTACAGAAGTTCTGGGCGGTAAGTTTTGGACAAATCTTAATACCTTATTCTGAGTAATTTGTAACTTTCTTTTTTAAATGTTTTGATAAACCTTCATACCAAGAGGAACAAGAGTAGTCAAAATGACACTGAATCAGGGCTGAACATAAAAGCTGTTTTGTTTTAGTATCTAAAAGTCTGCTCTGCCTATATAAAAACTTGAGCTTGGCATTCACTTTAAAAATAACGTTATTAACAATAGTTTCCCCAGATAAATCACTATTGATATAAAGACCAAGATACTTGACTAAATTAGTACCCTTTATGCTATGACCATTACATGTAACAGTAAATTGTTCTTGCTTTTGTAATTTTCTTTTTATATATTATATGTTTTTTTGTATATATTTAAATGTATATTATAAAACAGCAATGAAATATAATGAAACTATGGGGCGGGAATAATTGAAAAAACTTTAATCTAACTGAATACTTTGAGAATAGTTAGGCAAAATAAATATGATGTTATGATATGGCGAAAAAAGAGATCAATATAGACTGACGCATTGTATACTGAATAATTTAAAAATTAAGTTATTGTATATGCCCCACTGAAGTATAATGGGTGACTTTTGGTCATTATTATCATTAATAGGAGTTAACCAGTTATTGCACTTAGTCTTAATTAAGCTAGGTAACAAGATGCGGCCGAGGTAAATGTAAAGTAATTTTATATGTACGCTTCTATTGATAAAAGTACAAATTATGAAGATACTTTAGACCTTACATCTACTTGAATGGTAAAAGAAATAAGTTCATAGTTATATTCACATTTATTGATCCATAGCAGATATAATATTGACAGAATAAATTTATAAATACAGCCGAGTCTGATATAGGGGTTGCAGCTGTTTACTAGTCCAATAGCGTTCCCTTGAACATTGAATATCTCAGACAGTATGCTTATCCATAATCTAGTCACCATAATCCTCACCATATGTTCAAGCTTCACATAAATATGCACCCATTACCCCTACATCAAATACAGGTTTCTTCCGACACTCTTGAATTCTTTCCCCATAGCATTGTACTATGAAAAAAACTCCTTGGCAACATTGCCAACCTGCCAGACTTAGGTCAGTTCAAGCGGGCAGTAGTAGGACTGCATTATTAGTATTGCTTCCGGGGTTTTTAACTATTCTATCTTTTGATTTTTTCTTTTCTTTCACTATTTTAACATTTTAACCAAAAACTAGAATACTTTTCCAGTATGTCACCTTTCCCGACATGTTTACAATGTCTGGACCTACTTTTCTTTCGTTTTTACAAATTACCTGACGCTCACTCATTTCCTGCCTATAACACTCGCGAGAAGGGTTGGAAGTATTCAAAGATAGATATATAATAGAATCAGTGTTGTTCTCGACAATGTATAATGACATTTTTTTATTTCACACAATCATTTTGACAATTTATTAGAACTATGATACTTTAAGTACAGTAAGGATTTCATATGATTTTTTATACTGGAGTTAGATATGTCATTTATATAGATATTTTGGATTCTGAAAGAGAAATCGAGGCTATAATGATACGATATTAAAAATGGACTTATTTGGACTCTGGAAATGAAAAAAGGCTAAATTGATAAAATTTTATCCTAAATGATATGTATTAAATGTTTTGAACATTTAAACGTTGAAAAGTCATTGATTAATTTGATAAGGTGTGAAATAATTATATATATATTCTTTAATATTGATACCATATAAGATCTCCAAACGAAATATTCGTCTCACACAGTTCCTGTTGTATTATTTGATATTTATTAGTGTAAAACTTGCAAAAAATATTAAGAACTTAAATCTTAATAATAACCGTAATTTTTAAATAAATATTAATACATGTTATGCATCCGGAATTGTTCTTTTAGTAACTTATCTTTTTTAGTTATTTTTATTTTTAAATTCCTACCCGTATAAAGTTTCTCGTTCTACCTATGTGGTCAATGCGTAACATATAGGACAATCTAGCGGTTTGAGAAAAAGTTTATAAATGTTCCCTTTCTTCTATCCTCAGATATGTTTTTTAAACATTTTTCTTCTTTAAAAAAAAATAAATGAATGCTCGGGAAATTCCTTGTTTACAAAAAAATTTATTTGTACTTTAAAACGTATAACCCTTTATTATCCGGATATGAAAGTAACGGACAAGGAGAGGATTTAAACAGGATATTTTTTAAAAAAAAAAATAAAAAATTTTAATACCCATGTATATTTTTTTTTCGGGCTAACGGGGGGGCCCTTTTTATTTTTGAAATGAAAGGTTTTTTTTCCCTAATTTTTATCAATTTCCCGGATTCAAAATTTTGGGGTGCTTTTAAAAAATTTAAATCTTTTTTAAAGGGTCATTTAAAGGGGACATGAAGTAAACAATATTAACCTGTAATACTGTATTATATATGGGTGAAGAAGATCCGTCACCCAGATTATATAGAACGCGTGAATAAATATGTGACATTATAGATGGCATTTCCGAAAAATGTTTTTAAAAAAAAAACAAAAACAAAAACATGTTAGCTGTTGTGATTCTAAAAACATATATGGTTGGCAGGCAGGCAGGTCAATGAATGAATGAATGAATGAATGAATGAATGAATGAATGAATGAAGGAAGGAAGGAAGGAAGGAAGGATTGAATGAATGAAAGAAAGACAGAAAGAAAGAAAGACAGATAGAAAGAAAATAAGAAAGAAAGAAAGAAAGAAAGAAAGAAAGAATGAATTGAATTGAATAATAAATGAACGAATAAATGAATGAATGAATGAATGAATGAATGAATGAATGAATGAATGAATGAATGAATGAATGAATGAATGAATGAATGTATGAATGAATGAATGAAAAGTATTTCTTTTAATGTGTAAATGAAATTCCAAAACAACAGACTGACATCAGAGATTTAAATTACGTACATATGTACATGTTGAAAAACTTGGATATGAGGGAATTACTCAACATTGTTATCTACGTCGGAGGAAATGACGTTGCATCCGAAATTCCACTAACCTCGACTTTGGCAGAATTAAAAACTGCCTTGACGTCACTTGAAAAACACAAGGACTGTTCAATATATATATGTACTGTATGCCCAAGATCAGATGCAAATGTTAAACTCAACTGAATGAAGAACTGTCACAGCTGTGTTTAGACAATAATGCTACACTGATTGATGTATACAGCGGATTTGTCTATGGTGACGGCAGTGTAGCGAAACACCAATTTGTAAGGGATGGTATCCATTTAAGCCCGAGGGGTGCGTCTGCGTTAGTCCTGGCAATGAATAAAAGGCTACGTATAATCAAACAACAATCCTCCTCAAATTCCGATATGCGCGCAACTGTAACAGACAGAACCAGAGGCATGAACAAAAACTTGACAAGAAGGTGGCAACATTCTTCGAAGCGGAGCAATGGGTACGACTTTTCCAGTGAAATGCGATATGGCGGAACCGAAGAAGGAAATGCTATGATCAGTGTTTTATCTGCGGAAGAATAAATCACAAGTCTAAAAGACTGTTGGTATCTGAACTAGGATAATGCGGACAGACACTCTAAAAGCTATTATAGCAAAGACAAATTACAAACGTTTAATAAATTTAACAATGAATACATAAACAATGTAAGTGAACGTAATAAGACTACTTTGTTATAGAAAAAGAATCCAAAAATGAGATTTCATCAAATAACAGTAACATGTGTATTCTAACAGATTACTGGATCGAGGGTATGTGAGAGTAAAACAAATAGTTTTACAAATGTAGATAATTTGAATTTGATTTTCTCTTATATATATTACATTAACATATCTGGTATATCTCAAATAAGAAATAACTATATAGTAATATTTCAGTCAACACACAAGAACTTTTCAATTAATTCCGATAAATAAAAAAAGTCAGTTTTCGATATGTTCCTACAAAATGGTTGCAGGAAAACTTGTTTTATGATAGGAGGCATGTACACTCCTTCTTTTTACTATTGTTTATAATGTATGTTACGATTTTATGTTGTACTTTACAATTGATATATTTTAC